ATTTTTACGCGTCTTAATTCCGGGGGAAATTTCAAATTTTAAAGTTGGCAACATTTTTAAATACTTCAGTTAATGGTGGTAATTGATATTTTTTGATACATTTTTATTTTTTGAATTCAAAATTATATTTATATACACATTTTTATACTTTTTTTTTCGAATTATTAATTAAATGAAGATTTGAAAATTAGTAATAAGTTAAAATTTAAATTTATTAACAATATATCAAAACCGTTTTATTAAAAAAACAAAATTACGTCAAAGACATTTTCTAATGGAACTGTTTTGTATATATTCAAAATCGTTAATTATAAATTTTAATTTGAATTAAAAAATAATTATTTATTAAATTATATTTATTATCGTAAGTAAAATTTTACTGTAATTAATTCTTTATTTGTATTTAATAAAAATTGATTTATATATTTATTTATTGCTAATATTATAATATAATTTTTTTTTTTTACGTTTGTCGATTATGCGCAGAAAAAATTTTTATTTTTTTATTTTTTTTGAAAATTATTTTCAATTCATGCGCTTTTAAATTTCTTTTACTTACTTATTTTGTGGTCATTCTTTCTTCAAGTTTTGGTTTTGATAAGTAGTTATGTCTATCAATATTATTTTATTAATTTTTTATTTTATTTTAAATAATACCAAGGGATCAGAGGTAAGTAATGTGAACAGATACTCAAGTAAAACTTTTTTTTGTTTGGTTTATTTTTAAATTTTCAAAAATTAAAACCCGCTTTTTAACGGTTTTTTTTTGTTTTTTAGGTGTATAAAATTGCATTGAAAGGAGATAATAAAACAAATTTATATTGGACCATTAATTATCCAAAAGAAATTCTTAATTTTGAAATTCACGTTAGTCTACCGAAAAATTTTTGGTTTGCAATTGGATTTTCACCTTACGGAGAACTCAAACTTGCTGATTTTTGTATTTTATGGACTGACTGGAAGAATAAAATACATTTTCAAGATGCTTGGACGTCGGAAGAAGGTAGAATTTCCGTTGATGCATCACAGGATTGTACTAATTTTCAATTTTTCAAAACAAAAGAAGGAATCAAATTTGGATTTCGTAGAAAATTCATCACATGTGACGCAGATGATTACGAAATCGAGGTTTAATAAGCTTACTTAAATTGTATCACATAAATTAAATTTACAAATTGTTAATATTTATTAAATAATTTAAATTCTAGGATGGTACCACTCATATTGTTTGGGCTCAAGGTAAAGGACCATTGTTTAGGCTGGAGGGTGTCAACATTTATTCAGCAATGATTAGCGGTTTTGAAAGAGCTCAACTGTTAAAGAATATTAATAGTTATGAAAATCATCCATCGGATACTTGGACGTTGGAAATTCTTACAAATAAAGTCAAAGTTCCTGAAACGGAAACAACATATTGGTGTCATGTACACAAACTCCCTGAGAAATTGATAAAGAAACACCATATAATTCAGGTTTTATAAAATTGAATAATTAACAAGTACTTATAAACAATAAATTTTTTACTCATTATTTCTGTTGTAGTACGAATCGGTTATACAGAAAGGAAACGAACATTTGGTACATCATATAGAAGTATTCCATTGTGAAACTTCCGTTAATGAAACAATACCGAGTTTTGCTGGTTCTTGTTTTGCAGAAAACAGACCAGAAAAAACAAAAGTTTGTAAAAAAGTAATTGCAGCTTGGGCAATGGGAGCTCAAGCTTTTTCATACCCTCAAGTAAGCACTTGAATTCATATTAATAATTACATTCTATCCAAATTAAATTTAAATGTTGGGGCTCATGCAATTCAAGCTTTAATTTTGAAAAAAATGATAAATAATTATTAATTTATATTTAAAAAATTATTTCAGGAGGCTGGATTACCAATCGGTGGACCAAATTACAATCGTTTTGTTATGTTGGAAGTTCATTATAACAATCCAGAGCTCAAAAACGGTAAGCTTTTTTGTTTGGCGCCAATTTAAAAAAAAAAAAAAAAGAATAATGATAATTATAACGTTGTATAGATTGGGTAGATAGTTCTGGTATCCGATTTTATTTAACCCCATCATTAAGAAAATATGATGGAGGAGTTATTGAACTAGGTTTAGAATACATAGACAAAATGGCAATACCACCAGGTCAAAAACGTTTCCAATTATCTGGATTTTGTATCACGGAATGTACGGCAGTGGTGAGAGTATTTAACTCGATTCAATAATGATTAATTCTTATGAGATTTCTTATTATTCCCCCTTTTTTTTTTTCAGGGATTACCCGAGACAGGTATCATCGTTTTCGGATCTCAACTTCATACACATCTACTAGGGACTCAAGTTTACACTAAACATGTAAGAAATGGACAAGAACTTCCAGAATTGAATAGAGACAATCATTACAGTACTCATTTTCAAGAAATAAGAAAACTTAAACGTTTTGTTAAAGTTCTTCCAGTAAGTTAAACCTTTTTTTTGTATATAAAATAAAATTCATAATTGAATTAAATTTTTTAATGGTAAATTTTAGGGGGATGCACTGATAACGACTTGCACGTACAAATCGACAGAAAAAAATAACGTGACTTTAGGGGGATTTTCAATAACGGATGAAATGTGCGTTAATTACATTCATTATTATCCAAAAACAAATTTAGAAGTTTGCAAGAGTTCAATATCATATGAAAATTTATTTAATTATTTTAATTATTTACGAAGGTAAAATTTATTTGTATTTTTTTGACAACTGAATTTTTAAACGAATAAGTTTAAATACCAATACATAAATTATTTTTTTAGTTATGAAAATCAAGACACGGATTCAGAAAAGGCAATTAGTTATAATTATAATGCAATAGAATGGACACCTCTTCGAGTTGAAGTTTTAAATGATTTATATTCGAATGCAGGGATTTCCATGCAATGCAATCAATCATCCGGTGAAAGATTTCCCGGAGATTGGGAAAATCTTCCAGTAACGAAAATTTATAAACCTTTACCAATGCCAAAATCAAAATGCTATTAATATTTAATATAACGTTTACGTAAAAACCTTAAAATCCGCGTATTTATCCATAAAATATATCATTATCGATTAACTAATTACCAGTTTACCAAAAAAAAAATTATAATTTAAGGAAATAAGAAGTAAAA